AACAATAATTGAATTATTTGCTCAATTAGCTTTGTCCTAATAAGAATTAAGCTATGATTATATCCTAACTTTTATTATACTATTTCTAGTCATACCATTTATAATAATTGATATGATAATTATGCATATCAAGTCGAAGAGTCTCTCTTCGTTTTCCAAGCAAAAATTATTTTCTTTCCTATTTGGTCTTTTGTTAAAGAATATTTACCTCTAAGCTGCCTGAGATAAATTTTCTGCAGTTTTCTATGCCATGTTCTCAACGTTTGAGCATTCTGATGGACCTTTTTGTATCGTAAAATAAATCCAAAGAAAGGAGGAAATGCTCAGAGCTCAACAACTGGCATTACATGATGCTGTTACACATCTGGCGCTATTGGTACCTATTATTTCACTCCAGCAGATAACATAATTGGCCTCGCTTTACAATAAAAAGGCGCACAATGTGCTGGCAGGTGAAGTCCTATTAATTTTATATATACAAAGTGTTCTTTGCATACAGTTTGGTTATTAACATCAAGCTACAAAATCCTCCTCCTGTAGGCAGTGAGAGTATTGGGTTTATCCAAAGCTGTTTACAAGGACCTTCTGTTCGATTGCTCTTGTTGGAACCAGTTGTGACTTTGCAGTGGTTCTTCTATGAATTCATCAAGTTACTCAACAGGATTGTAAGTGTTCCTACGCCAACAATCGTATTTCTTCTAATGAGTTAAGCATTCTCAGTATAGACCTGTTCAATCTACCTGAATAATTTTCCTGTGTTTTCACTGATTAGGCCTCGTTTGATTAGGCTTTTTTCCCGTTTTCCGTTCGAATAAGCGAAATCATTAGTATTACTGTTTGGAATCAAAAGCTAACCAATCATTCCTTTTTATAACATCATTTTTTGGCGTTACAAAATTCTTTCGTATCTGCTTCTCGTCACTAAACGGAGTTTGGTACAAAAATGTCTTTATAATAAAATCTCAAAAGCAAACTCCTAAACAAACATTTTAAAAATTACTTTCAAGTAATTAATAAGCACTTAAAATATTAGTCAAACCTATCTCATTATTGAAACTCCATTTTATTGGAAAGTCTTTTCTCAACCTCCTTTTCCTAAAACTCATTTTTATGAAACAATAAACCGAATCAAACGAAGCCTAAGGCTTCATTTGGGACAGCTTTTTCCTTGCTCTAAAAACAAGCTTTTTTAGTAAAAATTAAATTTTTTTGTACCTAGAAAACGTTGTTTTAAGAGCAGTAAAAAAAGCTTGTCCCAAACAAAATTGTACTTTTTGTACTTTATGGCCTTGTGGATCAAATTAAATATAATACTAAATTCTCCTGAGAATTAAAACTTATGATCATCCATCTATTTGGTGAAACAGTTTCTCATATTCATTCAAAGACGGGTTTACAGGAGTTCTATGCCAGGAGAGTAACCTATCCCACGACTCTTATTCAGTAGGGATTCTTGAGCGAAAACTCAACCCCATTAATATAGTAATAAGACCTTCATGTACATCTCGTGGCTGACCATTTGAGGTCATTCCAGCAGAGTGGAAAGGTCCGAGGGAGTATGCTAGTCTCTCTTTCTTCCTAAGCAATACGACCGATCAATCACTCTTTCTTTCAATTTCAGCCCATTATTGCTCACGCTTAGGCCCGCTTACTAACTAAAAATAATGATTTTTCAAGCACATTGTTAGAGGCTGTTTTGAAAACCACCATCAAAACTAGGTATTGTTGCAGGGTTTTTGAACCGCTGTTATTTGCACTGGTTTTAATCGGTGCAAATACCACCGGCTCTAACCGCTGGTATAGCCGAAACCCTATCTCTAACGCTCGCTTCTCGATCCCCTTTCTCTTCGTTTAATACCCTATCTTTTGAAATCGCTCGATTCTAATTACATCGGGAGCACAGCGGATTTAAACGCCTCTGCGAAGATTTAGTGGCGTTATACACTGCGGAATAACTCAAAATTTGCTGTAAAATAACCTTAAGGTATTTTTTTATAGTGGCCTCACTACAAATGCTTCTTCTGGGTAGTTTGCAGTTGGGTCTTGCTCGCACTCTTCGCAACCTCGCCAGGCTCTCCCCTTGCTCGCAATATAACAACTCCATGTTCTCTCCCATGCCCACCTCTCTTCAACAAACAAACACACTGCCTAACTCCTCTTATAGCTTGGTCCCCTCTTTTTGATGCTTACGTCCTAACTCAGGATCAAATATATGAGATGCGGTGGGAAGTCATCAGGTTCCACAGAATGCTCACTTTTTCTCTCTTGCTCTCTCTATATCTAATCACAATTTACCTGCAGAAACCCCCCCCCCCCCCCTTCCTCTTTCCG